GTTGCAGCTGGTTGGGGCTGATGATCAGGTTCTGCCCCTGCTTGCCGGGCTTGGTGTTCTTCGGCGGCGGGGGTGGCATCGGCACGTGGCAGCTGTTGTTCTGCAGATCGGCGAACTCCGGCGGCGGTATGTGCTGAATGTGATGCCTCTCCGCCGTTTTCGTCTCCAGGTCGCCGCAGATGTTGTTCGGCATCTGACCGTTCTCCTGCCTCTTCTTCGAGCAGTTGTGCTGATTGCTCTTGTCGCGCTGGTAATAAACGCCCGCGAATATCAGCACGTTCAGGATCAACAGGCTGCAGCCGATCGCGATCGTGACGCTGAGAGCGGTCGAGTAAGCCGCGAACCCGTCCTCCGGTTGCGTCGTCGTGTCCTCGAACGCCAGCTCGCTGGGTATGGCCGTCGTCACGTTCGGAGTCTTCTCTGCGACGGTCACCTCCGCTGTAGTCGTTCTGGTCGTCGTTGGTATCCTCTGGATGAACCTCGGCGGCACCTTTAGGGGTTACATCGATTAATTGGGAAATGCTCGAGCCTGAGAGGTTGAGGACTGTCGAACAGTTATTGACAGCTCTACTCGAAACAGTTTCGACCTCTTGTTCTTCGAGTACCGATGAAGCGTACCTGTTCAACGTCGAGTAGATGATGCGACCTAGGAACGTCGTCCGAGCCAGGCTTATGTAGATCGGGGACTAGGTTCAGCCAGAAGGAGAGTCTGTGCGCTCTGTAGTGGTTCTTCAGCTTCGACTTGAGTTCTGGAAACACGGATGGTTTCTCAGTGAGAGAAGAAACAGAAGAACAAAAAGAAGAAGATGCAGAGGGGTGAGGGGGAAGGAGGGGAAAAAGAAAGAACGGATCGAGGAGGAAAAGAAAAGAGCACAGGGTCGCCTTTCAGAGGGAACGTGACAGCGGCCACGGCCAGCGGCAGCTGGGCTACTCGCACGTCAACCTCTGGAGGATGGTTTTCCACGAAGCCCTTTCGTACTAACAGCGAGGTAATTAATTATTGTCGCGTGGTAATCTCATACAGAAGGCAGCTTCGTTAGTCAGTGCGCCTCAAAGTTCCAAACTGGCGGGTACTGGCAGCGAGCTGGAGCCGTCCGGCGGCAAGCGGGGGCAACGCCAAGGAAGACGGTAACAGTGAGAGAAAGAGCGAGAGAGAGAGAACACGGTTAACCCTCGGGCTGGCTTTGCCCCGACTTTTCTACTTGCGACCACGACGCGGCATAGTTTGAGCTGCACTGCACTCGAGTGCGAGCGAACTTTCCCCCGCACCGGCGTTATTCTGCTCGTGCCGCTGACTGGGTTTTCTCGTCCAGCCCCCGGGGGTTACTTGTCGCGTTAGGATCATCGTTGCGAGAAAGATGCCGCGTACGAGAGAAAAAAGCGTAAGAGAAATTAGATTCGAAGATGCGAGAACTGCGTTCGTGTGGGTCGGATGGGTCGAAATCACCGGATCCTGATTTCTTTTACAATTATTGAGAAGGTAGCAGATGATTGCATGAGAAATTATTGGAGAAATTGTTTTCATCATACGCAAATTGAATTGCACATCGGTCGAAATCTCGGTAGATGTGCGTTTGAGACTTGTATAAAAATTATTAAGAGAAAGCGATTCAATTGTTCGGTGATTCCAGTGTTAATAGAGAATTATTTCGGGAATATATTTGTTAGCGGAAAGGAAATGGGAGAAAAGGAAATTAGATTCCAAGATACATCAAGAACTGAGTTCGCGACGGTGCTCGACGTTGATAAGAACGTTTACACGCGTCGCGAGGTAGTTAATGGAGAATTAATTCGAGAATATATTCGTTAGATACGTCGGCGACAAAAGGAGCTCGCAGGTGACGCGACGCCGTCGGCTTTTCATTTCGAAGTTGCGGCGCAATTGGAGGAACGAAACACCGCGAGCAGAAGTGAACTACTGCACGGGATTCGCGGGTCGTTCCTGACGAACTGCCATTCTCCTCTCTCTTCTCCAGAATGAGAATTATGCAAATAAATCTTCCCTGATCCTCTTAGTTACATGCACGAAATGCGTGCGAGCTCACGAAGACTAGATTCATTATACTCACTTTAGGTCGTAATCGGATTAAATAATAATTCCCGGTTCCGGTTCAAAACGTTTCCGCGCAGATCCTCTGACGAAAAACGATTTCTCCGAGTGGAAATCTGCCAGAGGTTGCGTATTCGCGACGCTGACGCGGCTACGACCGTTCAACGAGGCAACCCTCGCGTTACTTTAACCCTTAACAACTCAGTATGTTTTTGTGCAGTGACTAACCTGTAGAAAATTATTAAACCTTTGCGCTCGGAGGTCACCGTTTAATTTAAAACAGAAGAATGATCAAATTTAATATTTAATATTAAACTTCGTATAATGTATCACTACGTTAACGAGAACGATATATTAGACGAAATGATACAGCAACGAAGTTCCTAAATCGTATTGTCTCTATAGAAGCAATTTGAAAAGTGCTCATCAGACACCATTGGAGTCATTAAGGTCAAAGCTCGATCGAGTCGAAAACACAAATAAGAGTTTTTTCTCGCTCGGCGTTTAAACGGGACCGCTCGGTTTCGGCGCCGAAGAAGCTTTACATCGTTGTCCGAGCCCTACAGCTAACGCTAAGCTGCGAAGTCTGAAGCTTAACTTCCGCCGAGAATAGCTTCACACTTCCCTAACGAGTTCTTTGTACTCCGACGAGAGTTTCAAATGTTTGTCTTCGTCGACGGGGAACTGTATCCCCCTTTTAAAGTCGCCGACTCCCTGAAAATTTCCGCCATTATCGAGTCACTCATCCGGGGAGGAATGTAACGAGCGTCAGAGAAAGGTGTTCGGAATTTCAAGGGATTTTAACGGACTCCGTAATTGCTGCGCAGTCGCGACGCGATACTAATTTTTCTTTCGACCCTTACCTATGCTCAGGTATTTTTTGTGTACGGCCTCGTACGCGATCCAATCGATGTTCTTCAATTTCCGTGTGCCTTCGTTCGGATTCCTGTCGGAAAAACAATGGATACATGATCGTTCGTTCCTTCGTTATAAGCGTAAGGTTTCCGATACGTTGAAAACGCAGCTCTCAGTCAAAAGTATTCCCTTACTTGTACATTTACATAGATTGTGGCTTGTTACATAAATTTCTGCATTTTAATTAAATGGAAACTGATTATCTTATCTAAACGTAGAAAATGTTTCTTTCATTAATGACTCACCCTGTACGCGCGAAGTTCGTCAAATACAGTATCACGCTCTCAGATAACGCGATCTCAGCTTTGGTGTAGTTTTTCGGCCAGTGCGACAGGCCGCCTACTATAGGTGCTCCAAAAAAATATGGCAGGTCCTCGCCGTGGATGCAGCCTTGCCTCTGAAAGCAGAACATCCTTTGAACTAAAATTCCTCAACTTCTACACTCGTCAAAGTTGAAATGCAATTTCGCTAGAGTGAATTCAGATCAATGATCTGGTGATCTCAGTAAAGATCAGTCGAATAAAAATATTTAATAACGTGAGCAACTATTATAAATAATAGTCTAAAGTGAGAATTACAATGCGAAATAATTAATACCGTTTTCTATTTATCTTTGCTGTCAAAGAACAAGTGATACATAAAGCACTCAATATTTTCTCGAGTTAACCCTTAGCACTCCAGGTTGTTTTGTAATCTTTCAGCAACTGCACTAATTTTTATATTCTTCGATCTTTTATTTTCCTTCTTAGTACAAAATTTGGATGTGTGGAGAATCTAATAATTTCAGGGTAGTTTCTTTAAGATTTATTAAAATATTTATGACTGGTGCAATATTGGAGCCTACAGAGTTCAAAGGGTTACTACGCCATATCCACTCGTTGCATCCAAAAGGGAACGAACATCAGTCGTATCCTCGAAGCGCCTAACCGAATTTCTTCGAATTTCACCGGGCAACGTCGGAATATAATATTTTTTCGTGCAACGGTCCCGAAGAAACGACGAAGAATCCGCAAAGGTGGTCCCCGGCTGAAGTATTGATGGCATTTTAACGACGCAGGACGTCGCTCGTATTTCAAACGGGAGAAAGGCTGTTCCGGCGGCACGAAGATATTGAGGAGGAACCGGCTGGATGAGCAGCACGCGGCATGATATGTGCTCGACCCCGAGTTTCGAGATTACTCTCGTCCTTTCGACGCTCGACTTCGGCCTGGGAAAGGGGCGGGCGAGTGGCTGGCCCCCTTCGAAACCTCTTCGTTAAATCCGAGAGATTCGGTCCTCCGTGAAGGGGAAAGGGGCGGACGCACGCGGTTCCTCCGCTGCTAGCTGGACCTCTGTATCCCCCCGAAAAATTGGGAATCTCCAGCGCCAAAGGGTTCGTCGCTGGCTCGGAACGAAAGTTGAAAGGAGCCCGAGATTCGTCCCGCTGATAAAGGGGGAAGCCGAGACGCGTAGATGCGGTGCTTTAATTCTGTCGGGATGTTTATCAGAGAAATTTCGAGGGGGACGGGACGGAGGATGTAATACTAAATAATTCCCCGCGAAAATTCCGCCTGCCCTCTCGACGTTTGTAGTTTCAATTTACAAAGGGACGGAGCGTTGTTTCGCTCCACCTCGACGGTGATTTTCTCCCGATCAAATATCGCGTTTTCGGTTGGCTCGAGTCGCGAGAGAGCGAGAGAGAGAGCGACGCGGAGAACCAAGATGGAAGAGGGAGAGGACGGATTTGTCCCGACAAGATTGAAGCTGCAAACTTCCCTTTGAGCGCGCTCGCAATAGAGACCTTCTGCATCTTTCGCGGCATCGGCGTTCCCTCTCTTAATATTTCTCTTATCGATTCGTTATGCAAACATTGGCGGCGTCTTTTCGAAATCGCATAACATCGTGTACTCTGGGTTATTTTCATTCGTTTCGCGATCTCCGGTGAACGAGGTTCGTGAAAAACATTGTTATTTTACGCTATTGTTTGAAACTACTGAAAATTACGCATTACTGAGTTATTCTTTTGTAATTAGTACAAAGATAATGGTTGCTTCTTTGAGAGATTTCCAAAGAAATTATTTAATCGGCGAACTAAATTATAAGCAATGCACTCTTAGAGTTCTTATAGACAAATTTTCAATTGTCAACTCGATTGTTCGGTGGTTAATGTTAAACGGTTTTTTCTTTTTTCCGTTTCTCGGCATTAATCCATCAGGTTTCAGAAATTGGTGAAACGTCAATGTCGCCGATTGATATCCGGGCGTCCCGGAGTCTCACATCTGTCTTCGATGAAATTGCTGACGCGCCAGCCACTCCGCGAGAACTTTGAACTTTGCGAACAGTTCACAGCTCTAGGAACTTGTGGCTCCCCTGACGAGGATCAAAATCTATCAACGAGCACCGATGGAAACAGGTGTGGCAAGGATATCACGAGCCGAGAGTTAGCGAAGACAGATCGAACGGTGTCACCGCGATCTGTGCTGTCTTCCTTAACGCGTTCGCGGCGTATCGAGAATTGTTTCCGGTGTGAGCAGTGAAACTACTGAATTAACTGTTACGAGAATTTCGAGGATTTTACATATCACTTATCCTTCCATAGCAGAGATAACTATAAAGGAATGATTGACTGTGAAATATTACAATTCTTACGTTATACTATTATCGAATTATTTATCTAGTTATCTTTTTAGCAGAATTGTGTTTCTCCAGTCAACGTATTGATCAACTAATTATCAATAATAAATAATGAAAAGAAATATCAGAATACATTCAGTCGATATTCACCCAGCGAACGCAAATATAATAACAACGTCGACTACGTAAGCCAAGAGGTAAAAGTTGAAACACTGATCAGCGTTGATACGCGGCGAACGTATTAATTTCCGTTCCCTTAATTATCACCGAATCCGTTCTCCCGCGCGAATATACAGGATAATTTCACGGTGTTCCGGGGACTTTTTCTCCTATTTTCTCCCCCGCTTATTCCCCCTCTGCGGTTCGGCTGCCTCTCCCGCGGACATTTCGTGTTATTAAATAATTTTACATTTCCTTTCCTCGGCCGCTTTCACAGGCCGACTGCTTAATTATGCCACGAAACAACCCGGCCTTCTATTTACCTTGCCGCTTTCATCTTCGCCTCGCCACTCTGTGCTCCTCCGTCCGTTTTAATTACGAATCGCCATTGTTTACCCCTCTCGCCGAGTTGTCGGATTCAATTTTATTTTTCCAGTTAACTCTGTCTTTCTCCCTTTCTCTTCTCCTCTTCCTCTCTCTGTCGCGGCCAGATCCACGCAATGGCGGCGGCCTGGGAACGGATCTCCCTTCCGCCTTGGCTTCCCGAGAGTCTCTCCCGGTTTCGTTTTTCTTCCGGGCACGCCGCGAGCCCGGCTGCAATCGATACATCGGATCCCTCTCGACGACCGATGCAGATCCTACAACGTCTCAGGAGCGAAACTCCGAATCCACGATTCGGAAATCTGATTCCCACCGCTCGCAGCTTTGGTTTTTCTCCCTGCCGGCTGGTCGCCGCAAGTTTCCGCGGTGTCGGAGCTCGACCAACTTTCCACTTTGTTCCTTCGGTTTTCGAAACCGCGAGACAGCTTTCGAGAATTAACGCGTCGCCGTTGCGTGGCTAGTTCAACGATGGGACTTTCACGGGGCGAAGTGCGCGCAATTGGAAATGTATAATACTCAATTATTTAATTAAGTCTACATGTGATCCTTTGCGTGTTTGAAGAATATCATCGTGTTACTTCGACCAGAACGTTGAAAAGTTTACGAACTAGTATCGTTCAGTTGCACGATTTACTGTAGTTTGATTCTCTTTGAGCGTTGAGACCAACCAGTTGAGTCTGTGATTGGAATAGATCGATTGTTCGAATACCTTACAATTTACTTGTAATTTATTTACAATCGAATGCTCGTAACGCTCAGTTTGAAGCTGCACTCATCCGCGACGCGGTTTCTCTTAAATTTCTCTTACGAATTAATCCTTTCGCGCACGACGCTGTTGTTCAGGACCACCGCGCGGTTTATATTTGAACTGGGTCAGGTTGAACAACAGCGCTCGTTACCCGCCAAACCCCACCCATGTTTACCTTTGTTTCCAATTTGCTTTTATTTCACGCGTTATTTATATCCTCCAGTTCTCTCTCCCCCCCTCTCTCACTCTTTCCCTCTCCGTCCCTCTCTCATATTCGACATGACTTTTTTATATTTCCCCCGTTGTCATTTTCGTTGCGTTTATTATGCGCCGGCCGCGACAAAGAGGATTTTATTAGCGTTACATCCCGCGAGACTTTCGGATAACTGCGCGGAAGCCCGGCTCCGCCATGTTCCGCTTTTAAAAAATGGATTCCCTCGAGCAGAAATTAGATTCTCCAGCCGAGAAAGACGACGCAGGGTAGGGAGGCTTGTATCTCCGCGTTACACGGTCAGCCTTCGTTTTCCTTTTTCCAATGTTTCATACTCAGAATGCGTGGAATATTAAGCCGGAATTGCCCGTGGAAGCGATCGTTTTCGACGTGCTCGCGTTCTCGAAGGAACGGGCTGGCGGGAGAGCGTTGCCTTGATGGCATTAGCGCTCGCCGTTGCCGTTCTCCTGTTGCCTTTTCCACGTCAGAAGCCGTTGAATAAGTTCCCGCGCTCCCTTCCTACCTCGCCGTCCTTTCTTCTCGTTCCTTTTTTCAACCCTTCCTTTCACCGGCTTCGTCCCGTTCGCTCCGTCTCCCCTTCCTTTCTCATCTCCACTCCGTTTTACATACGAATACATTCTTCCTTTCTCTCTTCTTCTCTCTATTCCCTTCTTTCATACACTCTTCCTCATTCTCTGTCTCTCTTCTCTCCGTTTCTTCCTTTCACACTCTCTTTCTCATTCTCCCTGTCCCTCTCTCTATCTCTCTTTCTCTAGTTCCTTTGCCAGCGCGGATCGAGCGTCGTTCGACTCGCAATTTTCCAGCGAACCTTCCGCACCGACAATGCGACCGGCGAAACGAGCCCGCGTCAAACGTCACGACGGGGACACAGACGATTGCCGGAGCGACGGCACTGCGGCCGATCGATATCCGATCGTTAATTAGCGAAACCGACGCGATCGTCGGTTACGCGACGCGGCTGAAAAACGGCCGGATCGACCGTGATTCCCCGTCTGCCGTGTATCGTCGAGACGGAAGTCGACGAAGACGTTGAACCCTCGTTCCCCGCGCGTCGCTGTATCGAAAGGCGTGAACGTGCAACCCCGGTCGGTCGGGTTGTCGCGAGACGGTTCCGGCGACGTGCAATCGATGATCTAAATTTAAATTCAAACACGTCTCCCGGCCGCCTTTGATGTTCCTCTGCGCGTAAACGGGACAGACTCGCAGCCGGCTTTTTTCCTTTTGCCGCGCCTCGCTCTTCCGCGCCCGCATCGCCTCGCGCCAC